GTAAAGCACACCGCCACTGGACTCTAAAGCAGTGGAGATGTGTTCTCTGGAGTAATTAATCACATTTCTCTTTCTGACAATCCAATGGATGTGTCTGGGTTTGGCGATTACCAGGAGAACGGTAGTTGCCTGACTGCATTGTGCCAAGTGTAAAGTTTGGTGGAGGAGGGATTATGGTGTGGGGTTGTTTTTCAGGGGTTGGGCTTGGCCCCTTAGTTCCAGTGAAGAGAACTCTTAAGGCGTCAGCAGACCAAGACATTTTGGACAATTTCATGCTCCTAACTTTGTGGGAACAGTTTGGGGATGGGCCCCTTCCTCTTCCAACATGACTGCGCACCATTGCACGAAACAAGGTCCATAAAGACATGGATGGGTGAGTTTGGGGTGGAGGAACTTGACTGGCCTGCACAGAGTCCTGACCCCAAACTGACAGAACACCTTTGGGATGAATTAGAGCAGAGACTGAGAACCAGGCCTTCTCGTCCAACATCAGTGCCTGACCTCACAAATGTGCTTCTGAAAGAATGCTCAAACCTTCCCATAGACACACTCCTAAACCTTGTGGACAGCCTTCAAAGAATTGTTGAAGCTGTTATAGCTGCAAAGGGTGGGCCAACTCAATATTGAACCCCACGGACTAAGACTGGGATGCCATTAAAGTTCATGTGCATGTAAAGGCAGGCGTCTCAATACTTTTGGCAATATAGTGTATATCCTTATAGTGGAGTCTTTGTTCACTGATTATGTGTTGCAGGATATTTATACGCTGAACAGTTCATATTTGGCAGCAGCTCCTGTAAACATTGGCAAAGGAAAGAGTTTCTTCAATATTAAATAATCTTATTAGTGAGTGTTAATGTTTTAAAACCTTGTTCATGTGTATAGTGTGTAAATATATCTGTACCCGGTGCCAACATATTTGCTCACTACGTATCACTATGTATGTTTCTTCCTTAAAGTTGGTGTGAACCCTTACATATATCCAGTGAAGTGACTGGTCTTAGGTGATACACATGAAACAAATCATTGTACTTAAGTTGTACCTGTATGTATTCTTCTCATCTCTACTTTCATTCAAAGTCCGGAATATATACAGCTTGTCTGAACTGTCAGGAAAAAAGGGGAGGAGAGCTGAAGTCACATGCTACACAGTTCAGTGAGGAGAGCTCTGAGTGCTGATTGGAGGAAAGAAGCACATCCCCTCCACACAGCTCACAGGAACAGAGCTGAGGCTGTCAATCAGCTGGAGCTCCCTCCCCTGTCACCTTTTTTCTCTTGGTGTCAGGAAAACTTATCAGAAGTGATTCATGCTGATAGCAGAGGATGGAAGCAGCAGACAGAAATGACACTTAGTGATTTTAATTATTGAGACAATGACATATAATAACAGACTTGTCACAAAACTGATCTGCCTGAAAAACGACTGGATTGGGCAACGGTCATCCCATGTTAAAGGGTAGCTTTAGAAAAATAATTTTAAGGTTGCATGAGAGACCATTCGCAGTAGAACATTACCAGAATAATCTGTACGTAGAGCTGGATTTTTTTGGTCATTCTCTTTTGCGAAAAAATCTTTTGCATATCTAATTTTATCATAAGATCGTTGCATACATGAACATTTCCTCTACATGGAAGCATAATTTCAATATTTTCTGGCATCAACACATTTATGTTTCCTTGGGAAATATTTTTTTTTAGTGGATAACACTCAGTGTTAATAGAATGATCTTCAGGAAAAATCATTAGCATAAAAGATCCTTAAGGGTAGATTTAGATATGCATCTAAATCTTTACCTTTCTACTGACAGGTGGTGAAAAAGCAATGTAATGCCTTCTCACCACCTGTTTTAAAGGATAAGTTAACCTTTTTAAAGGCAAGGGCTGATGGTACTTTTAAGGATTCATTCACAGAACTCTGTGAATGAATGACGTTGCTGTGTTGGCAGAGCCACGCTCTTTTCAAATTGTGACAGCAGGTGTGGGTAGAAGATCTTCGGCCCGTTCTCACAGGGAGGGGGAAGAAAACAGGAGGAACATGTAACATGTTCCCAAAATTTACTTATCCTTTATCCTCATTTTTGGTCATAAATGCACCGTAACTGCGTGTGTTGCAAAAGGTTGTGAGGCATTTTCGGTACTTCCCCATTTTGCCTGAATGTGACATGTTTGGCAGGCTTGGTATTCACCAATCGCTACATGTCAGGTAAACGCTTACAGGAGTTAATTTACGTTAATTTATGGAAAACACATCCCAAATGTTCCTGTAACTGCTTAAAAAGTGTTAGCTGGAGTTTGGCTTTCATTTCTTAGTCAAGCCCATCTAAATTTGCTAGTGCATTTAACACTACCCTCTCCACAGGTTGACAATGTTGCTGACAAGGGTGACTCTATTACTCCTCCATAGAGTGGAGTCCCCCTAAGAAAGAAAGTGTGTTACTGGCTGGATCACCAGGTGAAAATAAGTAAAATAATAAAAAGGATGCAGCCATAACATTTAAGGATTGGTAAATTGCAATATACAGTGAGGAACAGAAGTATTTGAACACCCTTCGATTTTGCAAGTTCTCCCACTTAGAAATCATGGAGGGGTCTGAAATTCACATTGTAGGTGCATTCCCACTCTGAGAGACAGAATTTAAAAAAAAATTCAGGAAATGACATTGTATGATTTTTAAAGAATTTATTTGTCTTGCACTGCTGAACATAAGTATTTGAAAACCTAAGAAACAGCAAGAATTGTGGCTCTCAAAGACCTGTTACTGTGACTTTAAAAGGTCCACCTCTACTCCACTCATTAATATAACTTAGTAGCACCTGTCTGAGCTCTTTAAAGACACCTGTCCACCCCACAGTCAGTCAGATGCCAACTACTACCATGGGCAAGACCAAAGAGCTGTCAAAAGGCACCAGAGACAAAATTGTGGACCTCCACAAGGCTGGAAAGGGCTACGGGGCAATTGCCAAGCAGCTTGGTGAAAATAGATCAACTGTTGGAGCAATTGTTAGAAAATGGAAGAGGCTAAAGGCGACTGTCAGTCTCCCTCGGACTGGGGCTCCATGCAAGATCTCACCTTGTGGGGTATCACTGATGATAAGAAAGGTGAGGAATCAGCCCAGAACTACAAGGGAGGAGCTGGTCAATGACATGAAGAGAGCTGGGACCACAGTTTCAAAGGTCACTGTCGGTAGAACACTTCGCCGTCATGGTTTCAAATCATGCATTGCACGGAAGGTTTCCCCTGCTCAAGTCATCACATGTCCAGGCCCATCTGAAGTTTGTCAATGACCATCTGGATGATCCAGAGGAGGCATGGGAGAAAGTCATGTGGTCAGATGAGACCAAAGTAGAACTTTTTGGTCTAAACTTCACTCGTCGTGTTTGGAGGAAAAAGAAGGATGAGTTGCATCCCAAGAACACCATCCCTACTGTGAAGCATGGGGGTGATAACATCATGCTTTGGGGGTGCTTTTCTTGGGTCGTGGCTGGATCTTCCAACATGACAATGACCCGAAGCACACATCCAGGATAACCAAGGAGTGGCTCCGTAAGAAGCATATCAAGGTTCTGGAGTGGCCTGGCTAGTCTCCAGACATAAATCCAATAGAACATCTTTGGAGGGAGCTGAAACTCCGTGTTGCTCAGCGACAGCCCCGAAACCTGACAGATCTAGAGGAGATCTGTGTGGAGGAGTGAGCCAAAATCCCTGTTGCAGTGTGTGCAAACCTGGTCAAGAACTACAAGAAACGTTTGACCTCTGTAATTGCAAACAAAGGCTTCTGTACCAAATATTAACACTGATTTTCTCAGGTGTTCAAATACTTATGTTCAGCAGTGCAAGACAAATAAATTCTTTAAAAATCATACAATGTGATTTCCTGAATTTCTTTTTAAATTCTCTCTCTCAGAGTGGGAATGCACCTACAATGTGAATTTCAGACCCTTCCATGATTTCTAAGTGGGACAACTTGCAAAATCGCCGGTGTTCAAATACTTCTTGTCAGGGCTCCCAGGTGTGACCAGAGGGTGTGTGACTGACGCAGGGAAACGCAGACTTCAGATATGTGATAAAAACAATATAATTTATTAACACTAACAATACAAACATAAACGCAGTGCAAATACTAAAACATAATACAGTGCAAACAAACCAAACCAACCACCCACAGATAACAGTACAATACAAGCAAGCGTCGTCAGGCAGGCCGGGTCAATATCAATCAGACGATACATAAAATCTTAAACGAGTAGATAAGCGCTCTTGAGACGAGTAGGTAGAAATTGGACACAGAAGAAATATGGAAGAAGACAAAAGGAGATTTAATACCCAACAAATCTTTGCAGACTTGACACCTTCCAGGCAGGTAGGTAGCAGGGGAGCAAGCGGAGATGGGTCGGGGTCACAGGCCAGGTTCAGCAGGTAGCAGCAGCGTAGTACAGAGGGTCAGGCAGAGGATGGGATGGTCAGGGTCACAAGCCAGGGATCAGAACAGGTAGCAAGCAGCGTGGTACAGAGGGTCAGGCAGAGGATGGTCAGGAGCGAGCCGGGATCAGAGCAGGAGAAGTCAGCAGCGGTTCAGATCAGGCAGGGTCAGCAAAGGAACAGAAACAGGATGCAGGACAGATACAGGGCCCAGGACAAACACAACACCAAGGCAGAGTCTGCAAGTCTGGCCATCCCTTAAATACACCAGTATCATCAGTTCCAGGTGTTAGCTGGCTGAAAGGTTGAGTCTCTGATTGCTGGGAGCACCCGCTGGCCAGCCCTGTTACTGCAGATCAAAAGGCAGGTGAGTCAGATCCAATAAAAAACAGAATAAACATGTGAGATAAGACAGTTGTATTATGATTTAATGGAAGAAGTGATGAGGAGAGTACTTAATAAACGTTGCAGTGGAGAGGTACTTCAATGAAGGTTCCACCAGCACTAAAAGGGTGGGGAAAAGAGTCACTGTGACCGGACGGTATACACCGTGAGGTTACTTGGAGATTAGTCAGGAATCCCTAAAGCTCATGTAACACTTTATACACAAGGCTGGCAGTCCATTCCTGCAGATATGACCTGACACTTCTGTTCCTCAGCAGCAGGGGCGGACTGACCATTTGGAAACTCGGGCACTGCCCGAGGTCAGTAGGGGGCCCCATGAGATGCCCCTGGTACCTTTTTCATAGGCTTTTTTGAGTTTGGACACAGGGGCCCCATGATCCCCTATTACCCGGGGACCCCATGAGTTGTCAGTCCGCCCCTGTTCCACACTGTATTACATTGTTGTATTTGGTTAGATATGCTTTTGATTCTGATTGCTATTTGCTTGCTGACTTCCTCACGGAGGATAAGGAGGCAGAGCAGGTCTCCTGCACTGGATCACTTATTTAATACATGATCCAGCCATTCCAGGTAGTTAGTCCCATGTCAAGGTCCTAACCTTTCTTCAGAGCTTGTGCATTCCATGTACTGGCGTCCATCTTGGGTTTCTGCAAAGCATGTGGAACGTCAATTCTAGAGCACAAAAGGTATAAGATAACCTTCATGCCTTCAGGCTTCTGCGGCTCCTCCTCAGAAGGGTGTGGTTCATCACATTTAAGCCTGCTGTCTGCAAGTGCTCTCTGCATTCGTGTCTTGTGTGTTAGTGTTGCTATAGCTCTGTTTATACTCTCGTGGCTCTCCTGGAAACTGACTCGGCTTTTGACTAGACCATTCTCTGCGTTTTCCATTGATCTGACATCCCGTTGCTGAACCCCGGCCTCCTGTGACCTGTTATTATATGAAAATGTTCTTGTCTACCGTTCTGTACCGTTTGTCCCGTTGTTATCGATCCAGCCTCCCCGACTACGCTTTGTCTGATCTGGTTTCTACCAGCTACACGCCATTGGCGGTGGCCATTACCGCAGCTGGGGGTGTCTTGGGGGCCGCGACCTGGTTCCTGGCTGCGTCAAGTCCATCCCCAGCATCAAGGGCCCTGGTGAAGGGCGCCTGGGACTTAGACTCCGTGCCCTGAGGGACTCCGGTCTGTGGGTGGTGGTTGTCGTCAGTCGGTGCGTGACCCTGCCACGAGGCCTGCCTGTCCGTTCCACAGCTCCTGCCCTGACAGTCCAGGTGATTAGTCACAACACAAGCTGATCCTCTTCCTCAGTGAAGAAGAATACAGGACAGAGCTCTGTGAATGTAAACAACACAAAGCTCTGTTCTGTCAATGGGGATGTGTCAGTTTTTGTTTCCCTGCAAAGCAGGAAATAAAAACCAGCACATCCCTTAGTTAAAATTGCACACAGTAAATGCACCAAGCTCTGTTAGGCACACAGTTAACCCTTTGATTGCGCCTAGATGTTAACCCCTTCCAAGCTAGTGTCATTCGTACAGTATCAGTGTATATTATTAGCAGTGATCCTGTATTAGTGTCACTGGTTCCATCAAAGTGTCAATTAGTGTCAGTCCCGCTAAAAGTTACTGATCGCTGCCATTACTAGTATATAAAAAAATAAATAAATCAAAATTCCAATATATATATACCATAGTTTGTAGATGCTTTAAATTTTGCACAAACCAATCAATATACACTTATTGGTTTTTTTTTTTACCATATATATGTATATTTATCCTAACTTTATGAGGAAATTAAATGTTTTACATTTTCTTATTGGACGTGTTTCATAGCAGAAAGTACTTTTTTTTTTTTTCAAAATTTTCTGTCTTTTTTCGTTTATATAACAAAAAAATAAAAAAACCCAGTAGTGATCAAATACCACCAAAAGAAAGTGCTATTTGTGTGAATAAAAAGATATTAATTTCATGTGGGTATACAGTGCTGCATAACCACACAATTGTAAGTTTAAGTAATGCAGTGCCAAATAGCAAAAAATTGGCCTGGTCACAAAGGGGGTAAAATCTTCCGGAGGGCAAGTGGCTATGCTAGTGTGGAGCCAGCCTGTCCTCGCCTATTGTTTACTGTTGACCAGTCTATTTTACTACAGTAACATTACTTAGAAACCCCTCTAAGACCATATCTCATAAACTTAGAAAAAATGAATTCAGAGTTTTTAAACCCATAATTATTCCTGGATTTCAGTGCTAATTGGCCACTTGTACAAGGTGTTTCTGTGCCTGATATATTTAATTCTGATTGTGTAGAAAATGTTTCTTTGCATTAAAATTAAATGCATATTTTAAACATAAAAGATCTTATTTATCATAAGATACAGCAAAGTTTTCCTAGCCTGAAAACACTTACTACCCTTTACATTAGCCATAATTGTAAAACAGTCACACAGCATTGAGCCACCTCTAGCAAATAAGGGATTAATGTTCTGCTAAGCTAATTTTATTGCCAAATTCATGGCATGGAAAATAAATAAAATAAGTAATAGCTTATCTCCCTGCGCCCAGTGGCATGTGGACAAAATGCCTTTGAGGTGGCAACAGGATAGGGGGAATTACATACCTGCTGGGAGGTTATGTCCGATCTGCGATTCTCTGCAGACAACTGAGTGGGAAGTAGGGAGATTTTAATGAAAAATAAACCATAGAAAGGCTATTAAAGGTGTAATAATTAAAGGATATGGGGCACATCCTGGATTTAATTTCAGTTTAAACAGAAATGGGGCTTAGGATCACTGAAAAGTCTTTCATGGTGGGGCAGATGTATGAAATGTCAAATCTCACAACACTTTCTTTGGCTACGCTGGGCCCCTTCCAGTATATAGACATAAGATGTGCCACTTGATATCTGCAGCACATTATTAATGACAGTCTCTCTTAGAACCACAGTTATGTTATTGGTGCAAAATACTGCACCACACTGGCATACAAAGGACAGCAGTACGAATGACATTTAATATATCTGGCCCATGGATTCTTTCATTTGTTTTCTATATGTCATTACAGCATGCTGTATAATATACTGTTCTGACCAAGGCATCATGTACAAGAAGGAAGCATCATTTTCTAAAAAATACTTATCTTCTCTCACTTGGTTGTCCATGCTGAGAGAAATTGTACAATAAAAATCTAGAAGCAGAGCAAAAATCCAAAGTACTCAGCCAATTTTATATAGATGTTTTTTGTCTAATATGCTTCTGCTATTCTAATGTTAGCTAATAGCAACGATAGCTAATTATTGTGCTAATTAAAGTGAATAATATCAGCAGAGGAGTCCCTGGGTGACCTCACCCTAGAATTCATGGTGCATGAATTCCCTTATCCTGTAGCCACAGTTCGGCAGATGGCACCCATAGTTTCTAAAGCAGTAGTAAATTTCAACAGAAAGAAAGCAAAAATGGGACCCTGGGCTGAAAAGTCATAGTACCGCATACTAGCACATTAGGACAGACTTACCATAAAACAAAGCACTCCAGCGCCACGCTTTCATGATTGTTGATGTTTCCATCTTCACCTGGTCTTTCTACGGATTTCTGGACTCCAGCCATTTGAATGGCTGGGCCATGATGACATCGCTTCTGTGCATGTACACAGGCATCACGGTTGTGGCACAGCACTCTCAATGGATGGCATATTCCAGTATGCCATCCATTCAGAGTGCAGTCTACATGTGCCGAAGACATCACATGGCCTCTACAAATGTGAATGTCTCCAAATTGGTACACATTTAGGCAATATTTACTGTATCTATAAATAGGCCTTATTATAGGCTTACCTGTAGGTACAAGTCATAAAGCAGACTTTATATGTAAAGAATGTGGGGCAATAAAAAATACTGACCTATTTTAAAATGTAGAATGGTAAATTTGTTATTAAATAGGGAATTGTATATTTATAAGATGTTTAAAATTCAATGTTAGGTTTTACCATTTCACTTGGCAAGAGATAATTAGGTTGCCAAAAAACTCCTATTTTGTGCCAGTAACCCTTCCTGGACAATGTGGATGCTGGGGAGCTTATGCTTGTCAAAAGCAGAAAAAAACAACACCTAAGATAAAAAGCTTAACATATCGCAGAGTACCAGTCCTCAGATAGGGTGGCTGTGTTAGTTCTCACTTTGAAGGCCAAGAACATTTTTAGCTAGTAGGAAAAATAGCTGTTGGTCCAGAAATGCAGTGTCCTTGTCACTTCCTGTGAGCTGAAATGAAAAAAAAAATGTTATATTTCTTCGGTAAACTACTAATCTTACCATCTCCCGTGTAATAAAAAGCAACAAAGGCAGACATGCTTGAAGTCCAGCCTGGGTGACAACCATGTCTTCCTCCATGGATACAGTGCAGGAGTATGCACAGCCATCCAGGGACAGGATGTGAGTTATTTGCAGAATAACCTGGCAAATTTATGGGAGGGGGGGAAGGTTAAAAAAGAAAAACTAATGCAGACACCACACATATGGACTGAAAAGCTGCAATATACAGTGTTACACTCCTATTGTTTGTTTGGTTTAGATAAACCATATCTATGGTCAACATTTAAAACTACACACATATATATATACTGTATATATATATATATATATACACACACACACATGTATATATATACACACAATGTATTCATTTCCACAGTGAATTTCAATTATTTCTAGCTCACATCTATCTGAATGATCTGAACGATCTTGAAGTTTGCAGGCATACTTTGTTAAGATCCCCACACATTCACTTCCTTGAATTCTGAGACACATATTCGCTATACCCTGTGAGTAGGTACTGATTGCACATTATGTAAATGACTGTATCTTATATATGGTGCCAGTTTGTGTGCCAGTAAATTCGGTCATTTTCCTACCTCTAAAGGAGTTTAGCTTACCAATAGGTTGCGCCTCAATGTAGTATTAGTCCACCTTAGTAGGTTCACCTATTAGTGAATATGAGTTTAAACATCTGCTCCATATTTTATAACCACTGAGTGGAGCTATGATTTGTTTCTTTACACCCTCAGTGGTTTATTATTGTTTTCAATTGTTATGTGGTTTTCCAACATTAGATGGAGCTACTTCTATCCGTATTTTTAAATTGATTAACTTGCAGGTGTGTTTCCTGCTCTTTCCTGCAATTTTTGACCAATCATTGTGATCCTCTGGGGCTTC